TACATCTGTTTGCCAAGTTTTATTGAAATATCCCCTAGTTCGCCACTATACAGGACTTGACACAGGAGGTAATAAAAATCGGTTTTCACTACTCAAAGTATATTGAAAGAGAAAAACGCCTTGAAATGGAGAATAGCAAAACCAACCATTAAAATAATTGCTCCTTAAGTAAAATTTAGGCGCTATTCGATCAGCCACCCTAAGAGGTAGATTATTTTCTTCAAAATGAAATGGGACCACTATGGAGGTATCCTCTTTCCAACAAAAAAAATCATGAAAATCGGTTCACAAATACCTATACATACAAACAAAAAAACATACAGTCGAATTGAGAACCTCCTTTTTTTAAAGTCGGTTAAAAAGTGCAGAGTTGGCAGTAGGCGACGGTATATTAAACAAAGAATGCGGACATTAAATTGAATGTTAAATTAATTTTAATGAAATCTGTTCTGTTGTTATTAATGGACACTACGGTGTTGTTTAAACAAAGCAGTTGTGTCTATAAAGAGTACTAGAAAGTGGGGTCATTGTCTAATTGCCCCATATCATTCTGCCTGGGGTTTAAAAAATTTGTTTAGAAAGCCATTAGGTACTACTTGGTACTTGGTGTAACGGGCTGGTGTCCGCAACTCGACGTCAAGGCGCCTATTTTGCGTGTGGAATCCATTAGGTAAATTTAACATTCTGTAAATAATTATGTTCAAAAGAAAACAGGCAATTAGTGACTTGCCGATATTGCTCGGCATTAAAAAGGTCTTCGTAAATCAGCGGTTACAAAATAAGCGATAAATTTCATAGTTTCGAATAAGTTGACTTGTGAATGAGAATGAAAAATTGACTTATAAATTCAATTCATGATTTCGAATTAAAAATAATTGGTACGTCCACCATAAATCACCATCACTAACCATTTATTTATTTTAACTTTATTGCACACAAAGTAGTACAAACAGCGGACTTAATGCCATTAGGCATTCTCTACCAGTCAACCGCAGTGCTGAGTTCAGAATAAATAAGTAGGGTGCAAAATATGACAAATAAAAACAGATAAATAACGCACAAATAAATCAAAATTTATAAGTAACTATGATACATTTACACACAATATAAAATATATATAAGATACATTACACTAGACAATACATAAACAACCATGTAAGTTTTAGATGTTTTTTTTCTTTTTACTAGGAATTTTCGAAAGATTCCGTGTTCGCGTGTAAATTGTATAATCTGCTTAAAATAAGAATCCACCATTATATGTATGTCTCACTGCTACAAGTATCTCCTCTACGGAAAGAGTTTAGGGTATATTCTACCATGCTGACCCAATGCGGGTTGGTGATTTCACACGTTTTCCAAGGGTTGTGAACTTCCGTCGATATGCATACATTAAGGGCTTTTACACATAAACGCGATACAACGACACGACGTGTGTGTAAGAGCCCTTAGGGCTCGCTAGAGTACGACGCGGTCGGCCTACGACGCGACGTCGTATCGTGTTTATGTGTAAGAGCCCTCACATATATACGTAGGGTGTAAATTATATGTAACGTTTGAAAAATAAACTGACTGTTCTTGACATTTGTATCACAAAATCACAAATCATTTATGGGGCAATGTTTACGCTTCTATAATAAAATTCCGATTGATATTCAAAATGTGGTATTTAAGAGGTTTAAAACTATAGCGAAATAAAAGGTTATTTAATAACACAGATTTTGCGTACTTAGATGACAAAAATTCATGGTTGTGACCCCATTTAAATCTTGCAGATTGTCTTGAGCTATCATATTGCAAATAAATATTGTAAATGATAAATGCAATACGAGTGTTTATTTATTTACAAAGAACAAACCCTAGAGTTTCTTACTCATTCTTCTCAAAGGAATCTGCCTTACGAATGAATAGAAGAGTTTAATCAATGTGGCGATTTGAACTGTAATTTTTTGCTAATGAAATAAAGATTTTATGATTTGAGTTTTGAATTAAAGGGATTAGAACCGTCGTTCTCAATTGAAAAGCAACGGATATTTCATTGGGCTGCCGCCGCTGTACCATCGACAGTAGTACCTAACCAGAAAACATGCTTAGCAAGTAAAACATATGAAGTCGAAGAATCAAGTTTGAGATAAATTAAGATGTACATTTTTGACATTATGGAAATACTGACTATTGAATGTATAAATGATTAATTTTTAACACGTGACGAGTGACACTTATGAAATGAAACTATTTTTAGGATCTTTTGATTTTACATAATATTTTATAAAAACATAAAATTAAAATAAGCTATTTAAAGAAAAGTTTGTATACAAAAAGTAAATAAATAAAGAAAAGTTTACATTAATATTAATCATAACACCAGTGTATTATCTAAATCAGTCGTGACCGTGGTACCTGTAAAGGGCCCGAAACGTTGGTATGTTTAGAAACAAAACCAATAAACGCGATTTGTATCCGAAAAATAGTTTCCATTTGCTATGTGTAACAATCGCGAAACCTAAGAACTCGATAGGATTTTATACTATAAGTTAATTCTTTACAATTCAATATTTTAGTCTTGATTTCGATTACTTTGAAATTTAATGAAATTAATGTGATTTTCGTAGCAGTACAACTCCTTGTGAAAGAGTTCGTCCAGGGTAGTGCTGCCACAGTTATGGCCAGGCATGCTTACGATCAGGCGTTGGACTTGTTCGTCCCTTCCCTTGACGTTATAAAAAAAAATGTTAATTAAAATGGTAACTAAATGTGTTGTAAAAAAAAATTGAGTAAAAAATCTTTACAATGATGGATGATTCTTGGGAACGTAAGAAAACTGTTTATCAGTGCAAACGATCAGCATCCAAAGGAGAGTCAGCGCATATGCTGCATAGTAGTACGTATACTATTTTCCCGGAAACAAAACACTGTTATAAATATCATATTGTAGCTACGCAACTCTATTAGAATCGTATTTGTACAACTATTTACATACTTCTCACATTTATCGGAGAGACAATATTCGTCATCGTAGTGTGTGCTTGTTTTTGTATCTTTTGTACACATTTATTTTATTTACTTTTTTTATGAGCGCCTGGTGTCAGCGACACGCCTGTCCATAACAATTGCAGTACCGCTCAGAACATTAAATTGAATCGCAAAGATCTGAGGGTACTGGCACTGTGCGCGTCACCTTGCGACGAAAGTTAATAAATTGCATGTGCCTGTAATTTCACCAGCACCCTTACCCTTCAAAACCGAAAAGCAGTAATGGTTATATTACATAAATAGGTAAGGTAAAAACTGCCAATAAGTAAGGTGGCAGTACTTCCCTGGACGAATTCTTTCACAAGGAGCTCTACTGCTACAATAAATGTATAAAGTAGGTTTGTGTTTGCCTTAGGTAAATAAATGATTGGATAAGTGAAGGGCCATTAAGTATGTAACTCTCGTTTATGAGAGCCCGATCGGAATTGTGCACACTAAAATATTCTCGTAGATCGCGTCAAGATTACCAACGAACAGAATCCGAGCGAAAGCGAGACGCAACGATTCCGAATCCGCAAGTATGATCACTTCCTTACCAATCTCATTATACGTCACAGCACGATCCTCAACTGTGTATCGACGGACCACACTTGTCCAAACTGGCAACAATCGGCGACTACCTTACGCGGATTGTATCCTTTCACCACGACAGTTAGCATTATAATGTATGCCATCGATACGATAAGGAGGAGGAGAATACGTTCATGCTACGGATTTAAACCGTCTACATCGTAACTGACAAACAACCGTTCTCCGACTAAGCTCCCAGTCTTCAATAATCTAATTCGTTTTCAAACTGAATTTACACAATCTAAGCGAGGTCGCATATGCACATGGTTTCTCTCAAAGAAAAGATTACGGAGACTGGTATCATGACTGTGGCATGAACTGTACTAAATAATATTTTGTATGCCCGTAAAAAATATACATAATGTCATTAAGGAAGAAGACATTAAGTCCAAAATCATGGTACCACGATTTCGTTTAACTAAGATAAACGATTCTTTTATAGGTACTGTATACGTTTTTACAATAAGGTTCCGGAGTATATATTAAGATTATCATTTCCTAAATTTAAAACTTACATTCAAAGTATTTTAATTGAAAAATCATATTACAAAATTGAAAAGTATTTGTTAGATAAAGATGCATGGAAACACAACATGAATCTAGACTCCACACAATTACGATTTATAGTGTATTCTATAGCGTTTAAGTTTATTTGAAAAGAGCAATCCCTAGAGATTTTTGCTCGTTCTTCTCAAGGAGGTCAGCGTAGTGAACGTGCAGTAGCTTAAAAAATGACGTTTTCAAATGTAAAAATTTTACCTACGGGATAAATTATTATTTGACTTTGAATTTGCACTATTCATTCGTTGTTTACACGTGCTAAATCCGGCTTAGGAATGTTCTCTACAATCTACATCTGCCTTATAGATTAGAATTGCATAGTATTATATAATATGTAGTGCATGCGGTAATCATGGGTACATTACTTTGATTGACGATGTCCTGTAGTTAAAAGAGCCGTTCCTTTGTAACATGACCAAGCAGACGTGAATAATATGGTTCAGATATTATACATATGTGTTATACTGTTATGGTTTACACAGATTAAGTTGCATGCTGATTGGTTACAGACGCATTAATAGAAAAAACTATTTAGGAGTATTCCCGAACTAAGAATATAAGTAATTGTATTCATAATTTATTTAAGACAGTTTCACATTTCTTATATTGTTTAATATTTTTGTAGCAACTTAAATAATATTCCCCGATGTGTACGAAACTTTGACAGCTAAACTCGAGAAGCGGCCCCTCTTATTTTTGTTCAGATGTATTCACACGTGAATAAATTATTGGTCGCCGCCGCGCACAGGGTCGTGATTGAAGGCTAGGCGCTTTGTTGGTTTGATTGGGTCTTTACGAGCTACAAAACAAGAAAATGTAACTTGTAAATTTAGGCTTACCTGTATCTGGAACATGGATATAGTGTCGTCCAGCATCTGAACTCGAATGGCAAGCATCTTGCCGCCTTTCTTGGGCGTGAGGGGGGGCGTTCGTGCGCCACCAGCACCCGCTCCATCCACCCCCGCGGGCGTGCTTGCCGAGTGGTGCATTCGCCCTGAATACATTGATCAATTTTAATTTGATGGAACTCCAAAAACGAGTCGTTTTTAGTACAAGTTCGTCAGCCCTTTGAAGGCAGTACAAAGATTTTTAATTCCCTGTACATAAATTAAAAGATCTAAAGATACTGCCAAATCATATACCTTCAGCAGGGTTGTCAAAGAATTACTGGGTACAATCCAAAAAATACCATACTTTTAAACAATGATTTTCTTTTTCTTTAAGTATGGTGTGGTATATTTTTAACCGACTTCAAAAAAGGAGGAGGTTCTCAAATCGACTGTCTTTTTTTTGTTACGCGATAACTCCGGCGGCATTTGCCCATTTTGATGATTCTTTTTTTGCTCAGTATTGGTCCCATTTAAATTTTTCTTCAAATTTAAATGGGATCAATACTGAGCAAAAAATGTTCCACTTCTAATGGTGGCAAACTAGAGATGAATCCGGTTTCGCGCACTACTCGGAAACCGATTGCAATAAAACTTGGCAAATAGATGTAATTTCACGAACTTTGGAGATCGGTTTTTTTTATAAGAAAGTTATATGAAAATGAAGTCAAGGTTAAAATGAAATGGAGCAAAGAAGGGGAAAAGCTGACCCCATTAACAAACAGGGAATTTAAGAATAAGGTATGCAAAAAACTAGACAATTTGAATTTATAAAACAACCTCAACAGAATATGCTTGGTGTATAAATCTTTTGACTATGCATAACTTTATTTATTCTAATGTGAGAACTACGACTTTGTTTGTATATTCTGAATAGTATGCAACCAGAAAATAACAAACCATTCTATAAAATGACAACAGCACATAAAAAACCATGCTTGGATGGTGATGTGATGTCATTTTGACATTGACACAAGATTTATATGGATTAGTCATACACTATTAAAATTTTTGAGTAACAGTTACGTAATCATGTGTTTAGAATATTATCAGTGCAGGTGGAGTATTCATGTGCTTTGCTGGTGTTAAAATGACCAGGTTTTCTCTGGACTGTAAATGCTATAAATGATATCCCACTCTTCCCTGGCTGTCCAGAGTAAATGCTCTACATTATTTGCCCTGACTTTTCCCCTGGCTGTCCCTAAATAATTTGTCAAGTAAGCCTGACCATTAAAAATATTTATTTACTTTTGGTATTTATCATCACTATAGCTTATGTACCCCTCAAATGGCTCACCTACCATACCAGTATGTGATCGTGGATAGCCAAGATTTAGAATCGCAGTGCACTAAGCTGATCAATTGTCATTCAATTGACAGAGGAAAAATGTATAATGATATCTCCTAATGCAATAATAATGAAATATTCACCTTATATGTATATAACCTTCATCAAACCAATAATTACAACAATTTATCAATAGTATGTGGCAAGTTATTGTGTATATATACAAATGTATTTTATTTACCATGTTAACTTAAATATTTACTCATTATAATATATCTCAATACTGGTTCCCATCCCTTCCTTTGGGCATCTACAACTACTAGTATGTCGTAAGTTGGTTTATTAATTTATACTATAATATGTAATTGTTTGTTTTAATTGGCATATGATTGCGCCTACTACAACATGATTGACCTACACCTACTACAACATGATTTACTACTACAATGACAACCATAAACTATCACATGGTGGTATTCAATTATGATGGCCGAATCAGGGGGTCTACTCTCAATCTCCGTCTGACATCCGTCCGAAACAATTACTGCCAAATAAGCAATACTTCAGCAAATGAAAAGACGCGTGAGGCGAATAAAGCCTCATACTGGATATTTAATTTCGTCGAATATTACTTATTTGAGAGTAATTGTTTCATATCGAGAGTAGCCCCTTGATTCTTATAATTTTAAATACCGTCACATTACCTAACTCAACACATCTCACTTTGAAAGTCTACCTATTTTTGAGTCTACTATAGCTGACACAATCCACTAAATGAACCATATAAACAAAACCAGCTATATTAAGTACATTTTCTTTCAACAGTACAATTAATTTTATAATTTTTTATAGTATAGTTTGTTTTTAAACTTATTTTTATATCAGACTTTATTGTTGGTAAGTTTATATGCTTTTTGTAGCAATTGGGACAGCCATAAGACACTCTATTGACAACAATATGCCAGGTAGTTTAAGATATACATCAATAATCACACAAATACATACATAATGTTAAAACCATCATCCTTCCTTTGGGCATTGCTGTACATGGGTAAAAATCAACTCTTGATATAACTGTATTGATATGTATAATAAGTATTAAGGAAAGAATAAATGAAGAGATCAAGCAAAAAACATTTTATTTTTTTTATAAATTGAGATATTTCTATCACCGTATTATATGTTTTTCCCTTTAAAACTTGCTATTTATTATTAATTATATCTTACCTGGCAAAGTATGGTATCCTATAGTGGACAAATGTCCAGTGGAGTTGCAGCTGCCCGGGGGAAGCTCAGAGTCCATCATACTGATATTTGTTCACTCTTTTCAGCCCTTAAACTGATCAATGAATTTGTTGATGTGAGCATTTTGGCTATGTTCAACATTTAGCTGACTTGGTTTGCTGGATATTATTCTATCTGTGACCAAAGAAACATTTTATGACAAGAGTATCCATTATGTACAATTGTTAAAAATCTTTTATTAAATTTATTTCTCAATCTTGAATAGTACTAGTTAAGCTAGTATTAGAAGTTTTCTTTGCTTCTTAGTATAGATATAGGCAATGAATAAAGGACGATGTGCGAAAAATTCTTGTCCTAGGTCATTGATTTTATGACCTAGGTGCTTGACCTGAGAAGATAGATATTGTTTGACATTTCGAAATTACAGAATAGGGGTGTCACCTTTGAAAGCAATATTACACTTTAGCAAAACAATTCAACAATTGCACTGCTACTGAATTCGAGCAGGCACATCTTCACTGCAGCGTTAACACTCGCGTATTGCGCCGAGATTGCCGCAAAATTAAGTTATTAGCCTCCCGATGCAAACCGGCGTCGCCCTACTTTACACCCTTAGACATAAATAGTTAGCTTCGATGCAATAACCAGAAAATAGGTCAACGGAGGTGTGCCCCGGCCGCCCCGACAGAGACAACCGCACTGCCTCCAGCACATCACAATCTAATAAGAACCTAAGCAAACTTAATTACACCATAAAGTACGACGCTTGACATTGCAAATCGTGGAATAATTTACACCCCCAAGTTGTCTGGCTTCCTACATCATAAAACATTACTATAAACACATCACGTCTTACTTTCTAACACCCGGGGATGAAGGAGAGGGCTGACAACGCAGAAGCCCCGACTCCCAACTTGTCAACCGCCAGGATCAAGTCATTGATCTAATTGGTCATGTGATGCTGAACCCCTTATCCACACTTTTGGCACTAAATTATCACGTCTCACAACTAAACACCAAAATTGTAACTTTGTTGATTTAATAAAATAGAGTTTTTCATAAAAATACACAGAAAATATCGCTTCACACACCCAACAAACGCCTGTCTGCCATATTTATTTACCTATTCAGTGTAGCTATTTTCCTTAAAATAAATTCTACCATTCCGAAACTCAGTAAATTCAAATTCAAATAAAAATTAGAAGAATAATAAAATAATTCTTATTATTCTTTCGAGTAATTTTCCAGAAAATCTCAAAAATAGTGGAAAATTAGAAAATTGAATAAATGGAAAAATATGAAACGAATGTTATGTTCTTCGTTTAGAATTAAAAAAAAAGCAAATCAGTGAAAAACGAGATTTAAAATTATTGGACAACAGCGAATAAAGATAATCTTGTAGTATAATTGTAAGTCAATGTCTTGTAGGTAAAAAAATCTTTACGGCTCTAACGTTTTCGTTCAGTATCTTCAACTTTTGCTTAGAACTTTTGACAGATGTCAACTGTCAAATGCGGAAAAATACAGGAAAATATTCGGAAAAATTATTTTTAGATGGACATTTCTACATGACCCAACATTAAATAAAGTCAACCATAGTCAATCACCTAAAACTGAACTCGACAACTTTAAAAAATCTCTTTCTTCACCAAAAACTGAACTCGACAAGTTTAAAAAAAATCTCTTTCTTTTTAAACTTTTATTCACAACTTTATAATAAAAAATGTTTAGTCTATGCTGCGCTGTCCAAGTTGGTTGGAGTTCGTGTTGTTATTATGAAAATTGTTTTGATTACGTATTAAATATAATATTTTAGTTCATCGCTTGCTATATTATAGTTAAATAAGGGTAAAAATTATCTACAATTATGGAAACTACCCCGCTATTGTCTAGGCCTAAAAAACGGTCTTTTTGGTCAAGGTATGGATCGCTGTCGTGATGAGTATTGTTTCTTTGTTGTTATCATTGTGTGAACTAATTCTAAACTAAAATGTTCAAGGTTTCGGAAGAAAGATTTAAGTTCTAGAGTTATAAACGTTGGACAAGTGCCTGACGAAGAATATCCACCCAATTATGTTTGCAATCAAGTAAGTTTGTAATGCCCTCTCTGATCCCATTAAAAGCGTAGATAAAACAGAAGAATAAAAAGCGTATTGTGCTAACAACTTAGCAACCGAATTGAATTTTCATATGAATAATAGTTAACATCTTTTTATATAAAATAGTTAACATCTGTTTATATAAAATAGTTAACATCTTTTTATATAAAATAGTTTTGTTTTTAACTTTGTCAGCCAAATTAGATTCTCTAATTTGCAATTGTAATTAGTGTGATTAGCGATTTTCATACTAATTCACGGAAATTAACAGTATTGTAGCAAATATCACTCAGATGACGTTCTTAGTCAAAACCATCATGAACTTCTTCTTCTTTTAAATGAAGATTTCATTCATATCATATCAATATTGGTAACTAAATGCACTGTATTTACCTCTTATTATTAAACACCAGTGGTGGTAGTTTAGTAGGGAACAGCTGTTTCTCAATTGAAAGGTTGATGATGATGTGCCTATATCTTTAATATCATCAATGTTTTGTAGAAAAAATAATTAAAACCTAAAACATGCTCCCCTGAAAACACTGATGATAACTGTATGTAAAGTTACATACAAATTATGTAAATGTTTCTCACTAATGGTGAAGTAAAACATTGTGATGAAATCTGAACTTGACATTTACTACCTCTTCAAAAGGTGTAAAATCAATTATGCCAACTAAGCTTCGGAACGAACTAGTGGACCTTACGGATTTTTCTGTGCGCTTGTTGCAGATATTTGTTTTTGATTTATGACGACTTTTTTGCCGTAGCGCCATCTGTGAGAAATCTATTTCTTCGCTCTGCCAGGCATCGACCATGGTGATATTCAATAATTTTTGTGAAATTACTCTACTACTTTGTTATAATGTTGGTACTTGGTACTTGGTGCAACGGGCTGATATCCGCAACTCGACGACAAAGCGCCTATTTTGCGTGTGGTGGGTGCAGGGTCCTACTCGTGCCACCCAAGCTCCTCCAGGAATCTCAGCAGCCTCCTTGGTTTGCTGAAGACTTCGGGGAGCGACCTTGGCACTCCAAGGTATTTTGCCCTGTAGTTGGCCACGCCGGAGCACTGAAGAAGGATGTGCGCAGCCGTTTCCTCCCCCTCCATGCACGCTCTGCATAGAGGGCTGTCTGTGATACCTACATTGAAAAGGTGTTTATTGTATGGACCATGACCCGTTAGCGCGGCAGTTAGAGTGCGAAGCTCTTGCCTTTTAAGTTTAATTAGTATTCGAGATAGACTGGCGTTGAGCGTTGGGAGTGCTTCCCTCGCCTGTCTACAAACCGTAAGGGTGGTCCATGTATTATTATGTAAAGATTTTGTACCTTTGTGTATAGTTGTTCTGGACCATTGGCAGGGGAGGGACACTATCGGTTCTGGTCCTACAGCGTCCGTCTCCGACCCTTTCCTGGCTAGTTCATCTGCTGCGTCATTGCCACGTGAGCCGCTGTGTCCTTTAATCCACTGAAGAGTTACGTGGTTTTGTATACATACCTCCATGAGTGCTTGATGGCATTCGTAAATGAGCCCTGAGTTTATGTCATAGCTATTCAGTGCTTGAAGTACTGACATACTGTCAGAGAGTATTCGAATGGAGTAGTTCTTTACTCTTCTCGCTATGATTGCTTCTGCCGCCAACTTGATGCCCATGCATTCAGCCTGGAATACTGTGTTGTGGTCACCAAGCGGTGCTGATATCCTGATATTGAGGTCTTCTGAGAATACCCCAGTACCTGTTCCTGAGTTTGTTTTAGATCCATCTGTGAAGACTCGGACCTCTCTGGGGTTTAGTCCTTCGTTGGGATCTTCAAATAATTGTATCTTGTATTTCTTGTCAAAGATGTATTGTTTTGGGATCCTATCCACAACCGCCTCCAGTAGCGGTTCCTCATTGACAATCTTGTAAAGGATTTCTGTATGTGGGGTCCTCATGTGCTTCCAGAGGCCGGCTCTGTTTAGACGCACTGCTGTTGACGCCGCTTCCTGTCTGATGAACAGTGGGAGGGGTCGAAGGTCCAGCAGCGCTTCGAGGGCCGCAGTTGGGGTCGTCCTCATGCAGCCGGTCGTCGCCATGCAAGCGAGTCTTTGGAATTTGTCCAGCTTGTCGGTTGCGGTCGTCAGCTTGGTTCGTGGCCACCATGCTATCGCGCCGTAACTGATCATGGGTCTTATCACCGCAGTGTAGAGCCATAGTGTTATCTTGGGTGATAGTCCCCATTGTTTACCCACCATTCTATGGCACTGCCAGAAGGTGATAGTAGCTTTTTTAATTTTGTTGTCCAGATGTTTGTTCCAGTTCAACTTGTTGTCCAGTATTACTCCCAAGTACTTGACTTCGGTTGATATCTGTAGTTCTGTGCAGAAGAGTTTGGGTAATCGGTAGTTACCTAGTAGTCGTTTGTTGGTAAACATTACTAGTTCCGTCTTTGTTGGATTTACCGATAGTTCATATGCTCTGCACCATCTTTCCACAATTCGGAGAGCCGCTTGTGTAATGTCGCAGAGTGTATTGGCATAGTTTCCTGTTACCAGTATAGCTATGTCATCAGCATATCCTATTGTATAGAAATGTTCTTTGTTGAGTTTAATGATAAGGTCATTTACGACCATGTTCCACAGCAGAGGCGACAATACCCCTCCTTGAGGGCACCCCTTCGCTACTATGGCCCATGGGGTCTCATTTGCTGTTGTTTTTATTGTTCTTTGTTTCAGCATGTTGCTAATCCAGCTAATTAGCACTTCGTCTACTTTGTGTCTTTTCATTGCTGATTGTATGCTGGAGAAGTTGGTTTTATCGAAGGCTCCTTCAATATCTATAAAGGTGCCTAGGCAGATTGCTTTGTCTTTAATGGCCACTTCTATCTTGCCCACAACGGCATGTAGGGCCGATTCAGTGGATTTGCCTTGGCTGTATGCATGTTGGTTACCGTGTAATGGAATGTTCTTAAGCGCTCCATCCCTCAGTTCTCTGTCACATATCCTTTCTAAAGTCTTCAAGAAGAACGATGTGAGGCTGATTGGTCTGAAGGACTTCGCGTCAGTGTAGTCGGGTTTTCCTGGTTTCGGTATAAATATGACTTTTACCTCTCGCCAGCTGTGGGGCACATAGCTGAATGCTAGACAGGCCCGAAAGATGCTGACCAGGTGCTGGACCAGTGTGTCCCCGCCCCATTGTAGGAGTGCAGGGAATACTCCATCTTGGCCCGGAGCTTTGTATGGTTCAAATGTGTTTACTGCCCATTTTGTCTTTTCGTATGTCACTACTTGTTCTGCGTATCGCCAGTTATGGATCGATGTGGTGTAGTTCATTTCTACACACCTGTCGTCTTGGACGAACCTACATCCTGGGAAATGTACTTCCAGTAGGGTTCTTTCCGTTTCCGCAGGGGAAGTTGTGTATGTGTTATCTATTTTGCGTATTGAACCTAGCTCAGTTGAATTTGAGTTGCCTAGGATTTTCCTTATTCTGTTTGCTTGTGCGCAAGACGTGATGTTCCCGCAGTAGCCTCGCCATGACGCGGTGCTCCTGAACCGTATGCGTTTTTTTAGTTTGGATTTGGCCGTCTTGTAGTTTTCCCAGTCCTCATCCGCGCATGTGTTCATTGCTCTATTGAAGTGTCTCCTTACCCTTCTTCGTAGCCTCTCAAGCTCAGGTCCCCACCAGTGTCGACCTTGTCGCGGGGCTGCGTCACTCAGTGGGCATGCGGAGTTATAGCTGTTCAATATGTTTGATGTTAGTTCTTTAACCTGTGTTTCTATCTGTGCTGTGCCCAGTAGTCTTCCCGGTGCTCCCGGTTCTCCCAGGTTGTGGTGTAGTTTGTCCGCGTATAGTTTACGGTCGGTTTTTCTGGGATTCCGTTTCGGATGTTGTTCTTTAATAGTTGTTTCTAAGCTGAATCTTATCCATCTGTGGTCCGAGAAAGATGCTTCTTCGGACACGTGCCAGTTGTGGATAAGGTCCACTGCTCCTTCTGACGCTAGGGTTAGGTCTATAATAGTTCTACATCTTTTATTTATAAAAGTTGGTACTATACCTTTATTAAGGATTTGAAGGTTAGTTGTGAATAAGTATTCTGTTAGGTTCTTACCTCTATCATTTGCGAGTTCCATGCCCCACAACGGATGGTGGGCATTGGAGTCAGTAGCCACGATGATATTCTGGCCGTTCTGCTCGCAGTAGTTGATTAGCTGAACCATTTCCTGTGGTGGTGGCACATCAGTCTCCGCCATATAGACAGAGGCGAGCACCACTTCAGGCAGACCCGTGGCCGCGTCTGCTAAAAGCTTTACGGCACACAGGTCTCTGGAACAGAATTCAGTTAGTGGCTGTACATGTAAGTTATTGGAGTAATATATGCAAGTTCTAGGTTTATCTGAGATGGTAGTCGATAGTAGCTTACCTCTCAGATGTGAGAGTCCATTTATTTGGCCACGGGCACTAATCCACGGTTCCTGGATTAGTGCCATGGCTGTGTTGTTGGCCTCCAACCATTTCCGGAGCTGAACCGTTGCGGCCTGGCTGTGGTGGAGGTTGCTCTGGACGATGTGAAGTTTACTGAGCGAGGGGGAAACCGCCATCAGATGATAGCAGCTCCTCGTCCACGTCCTCGCTCAGTCGGATGTCTCCCATCCCCAACACGCACTCGTCGTCACTGCTGGTCGCCACCGGTTTGACAGCGGCGTCCGCAGAGACGGGGGTCGAGGAGGGCCCTTCACCTTCTCCGGGAATATTGGAGGAGGTGGAGGGCTCCGGGGAGACGTCCATCCGCGTCGTTGTTGTGCCCGTCTTCTCGGGTGGCACATCTGTGTACAGGCCCCTCTTTGATCTAAACCTGAGGTAGACCGTGCCCAACTGGAAGGTTAGGCGCCGGCCATGCCCCAGGATAGCGGGGACGAGCTCTTCTGGGAGGCTCACCACTACAAAGGAGTTGCCACTATGCTGCTGCAGCCTGTGAACAACCCAGCGGTGTGCCTCCGCCCACGGGTTTTGCCACTTGAGGGTGCGGCCGATTCGACGCGCATCCTCCCAGTGACCAGGGATGAGTAGTCCACAGACCACCCTCCGGGGAGCCTCCACCCCATTTTTCAATGAGAGGGGCTCCGGGGCCCCGGATGGCAGCCTGATGGTGCTAATAGCATCCTCTAGCCACTGGAAGGTGGCTGTGTCCTGACACCACAGTTTCAGGGACCCGTCACTGTAGACAGGTTTACCACGAAACTGTGGGCCGACGTCCTCCTCGCTGCACTCCTCCGCTCCTTGCGTGAGGCGCTGACATAGGGCCACCTGAACCATGTCGGCATCGGGGCTCCGTATGTAGCCAGTTTTGGCTGAAGTAATTACAGCCATGAGTTCGGGCCTGGTGGCCTCGGCGTAGGTGCGTTGCTGAGCGGGCCTCTCAACCTTTTGCCGCTTGTGCTCGCCTCTAGGAGATATGGTCTCGTCAAGGCGGGCACGTTTGGCAATGGTCGAGGACCTCTGCCTGCTCTCTCCCGGTTTGCTGTTAGAAGGGGGGGGGGCCCTTCCAGTGGGGTGCGCGACCGACCCATTTGACCGTGCAGTCCCTGGGCCACTCGCGCCACCCACTGGGGGCCTCGCCTCTCCCTCCTTCGGCAGGGGGTTGTGTGAAGTGCGTCGCTCGCGTTCTCTACGACGGGCCTTCTTGTTTTTTCGGGCAGGGCGTCCCTTGCTCCCACTGGGGGCCGGAGGTGGGCGCTCGCCGTGGCCACTAGTCCCTTCCTTGCGGATGGGTGCCGTGGCCTTGGATTTGGGCTTGCGACTCACCAAGGTCCACCCTGCTTCAAGGGCCGCGTTTGATGGGTTTTGAGCGGGGGCCGCAGAACCTGGGGTTTGGGCCACAACCGCTGGTGTGGTGCTAGCACCAGCATCGGTGCTCGGCTGACCTTGGGGTTTCCCCTTTGGCCTACCGCTCACCGTAGGGCGCTGTGTGTTTGTAGTTGCTTGTGGGGCACTTTTGGGTTTCCCCTCCAGTACCGCCGGTTTTGGGTTTTGGGTGTTGGTATTTAAAAGATGATCGTTCAAATCCATGTTATGTGTTCCTAGAATTCATTCTCCTGACTTCCCACCCACCACGGAGCCCGCACCTTTGGGGATGTCCCATTCGGGACACCAGGATTGTCAGGAGAGTATAGGTGCAAGAGTTGGGAGCTCACTGCGCGACATCGGGGGCTCGAAATGTGCGGCTGGCTGACCTGATCAAAGTCAGCCAGGTGTTCCGCACATACTCACCCCGTCAGCATGGCCGAGTCCGTCCCCCCCACACCTCGCCTGTGGCCCTCTGACGGGACACAATGCCATTTCCCTGTGTTGGCTAATCACAGGGCTACCGTTTAGCAGGAAATCAGGGCCAAAGGGGGCGTATTGCTTGCCGGAGTCCCCACCCCGCTCGGGCTCAACCCCCCAGGATTCCTTCATCCCTGCGTACGGCGCTCAACTGCGTAGGCATTAACGCAGGAGGGTGTAACTTTAGACTGCCCACCACGTGCCATGGTCCACCCCCAGAAACGCATGGCCGGGCCGTGTTGATCGCTTCGCGCCCTCACTGACAATTCTCAGACTGAAGCTGAGGATTGTCAGTGTTGGCCCCAGGGTGTACCGGCTACGTCCTTGGGCGTTCTGTGATAACATGTTACCACAGACTGCTCAAAGACTTCGCACACGTGGAGGTGGAACAACTAACACACCCCCTTTATAATGTTTAAATCATAGATTGAACACTAAGAAAAAATTCCTCTGATCTGGCTGGTTTCGAACCAATGTCTTCCAGCAAACCGTGTCAGACATTATGCTAACTAAGCAACGATACGAACTGGCGCACCTTACTGCTTTTTCTGTTGTAAAGCCCTCAACTTGTATTGAGCTAGCATGGTCAAGGTCTAAGCCCTCTCCTTAGAGGAAAGAGGAAAGTCTTGCCGTACAGTGTGATGTATAATGAGTTGAGACAATGATGATTTACCTCTTACTCCATTCACAAAATGTGTCAAAAAACCAAGTTCCAAGAAATATTGGTTGGTTAAGATTTTATGGAATGACCATGTGTGTAGCAATGACTCAAACTGATAAACTTATTTACAGAAATACAACATCATCACATTCCTACCACTCGTTTTGTACGAACAGTTCCGGTTTTTCCTCAACATGTACTTTCTTGTGATGGCAGTCAGCCAATTCATTCCCAGCATACGAATTGGATACCTATATACTTATTGGGGACCACTGAGCTTTGTACTGGCTGTGACGTTATTCAGAGAAGCTGTCGATGATTTTAGGAGATTCAGGTAGGAATGTAAAGCACGGCATTATTTTCCGTAAGAAGATGTTTGTATGGGCTTTGTGCGGGACGGTAGTAGGTAGACAGTAGCCTACATGTCCTATGGAAGATCTCAAGACAACACATTGAAAGTAGTATGTAATTCATGTTCGTAAATGGTTTGAAATAAAGAAGAGTTATCACACATAATGACATATAGTGAAAGTGACATTAAAACGAAAGGCAGTTCCAAATTTGCTGGTGATGCAACCTCTATGCTAATTACTTTCTACTACCACAGAACGTTAATAAAAAATAACCGACTAGACAATTACGCACATATTTTGTTTCAATTATGTATAATGTTCTCATCTACTGTTTTATTTAAAAGCTGCTATACTAAAATAAATAAGAAACAGATTAAAAATAATAAGAAGAATTGTGTGTAGTCTTCATTAGTATCACTTTGTTACCACATTTAGATACAATAGTAATTCATAAATAACTATGATACTGATAAATCTTTGTTCTTCACACTAACTCCATAATGTTATTATTAACCATTGTTAACAACAGTACAATAATTACTTTTACATTAGCCAAACTACAATTTAAATTTAATAACATTAAAATGTCATGAGACACAAATTACGAATTCTGTATTACTCATAACAGCCAACTTTTACTAATAGGTGGGCCTGTTAAAAGGTTGTTATAACGGTTATAGTATGTAGTAAAAATTTAATTCCATACTATTTGGGATTTTTCCATATTACACCCTCAATGTAATGTTTCTCCTTTTATCGTAAGTTTGCTCATAAGAAATTGCGTCATTTATTCGTTGACCCAGCCCGAATGGGTTGTGTGTAGTTTAAAAAAGACTAGGGCCGATGAGGCCTACTTGTCTCCTTGCATTTGCCAGCTCATCTGCTACCTCGTTGCCTTTGATGTCGATGTCACTTGGAACACAGTGTGAAACCACGGCTTTCTCTCTTTTCCTAGTATTAAGAACAGGAAAACGGTAGTAGACCCTCAGGTTCTCCGTCCAACATCCGTCTGAAATGATTACTGTCAAATAAGTAATACTCAACCAAAATATGAGACTCGTGATGCGAATGAAGCTTCATACTTGACATTGTCTTTTGATTTTGTTGAATGTTACTTATTTGACAGCAATTGTTTCGTACGAAATGTCGATCGAGATTAAGACTAGATCCACAATCCTTGTTATTTGGGGCCAGTGCGTGAAGAGCTGCAAATAGCTACTATGTCTGAATGAATAGTATTTTTGCTATACAGGGTGGAATCGTTAAGTGTGCCCAGGAGATTTCTTCATAAATATAAGAGATATCAAAAAGCTTTAAACTGATATCGAAAATAAATCGACATCAATAACTTTAAAAAAATACTAGAAATATCCAAAATTTTAACATTAAACGCTCCCATACATTTAATATGACATTCGTAGAGAGGATGATGAAAAAGATTTGATTTTTGACTCACTACCTTTCCGATTTTTTCATCCCAAATGAAATGTTGAATCCTATGAAAAAAATTTGATCAATTTTATTCAAAGGAAATGAAACTATTTTTCCGGTTTTAAATCGCGTATATTTGTTTTTTCAAACAAACCATTTTTATTCTATCTATCTATGCCATTATATTTTTATTCAAGTAAATGATTGTTTTATTACTTTATTTATGTCAGTTTTGTCATCTGTTGACTTATTGTTACCTTTTACAATAGGACAACTAAAACCTCTTTACGAATGTCATATTAAATGTATGGGAGCGTTTAATGTCAAAATTTCGGATATATCTAATTTTATTTTTAAAAAGTTATTGATGTCGATTTCGTCATTAAGTAATGTACTTTCGATGTCAGTTTAAAGCTTTTTGATACCTCTTATATTTATATAATAATCGCCAGGGCACACTTAGCGATTACACCACGTATATTAGTATTGTAAGCTGTTACACTTTTCACAGGAGAGACAGAGAAGTAAACCGCCAACGTTACGAACGTATAGTCCTCGACCAAACAGAAGATGGTTACCGCCCATTCCAGACCGAACTCGTGTCAGCGTCAGCACTACGAGTTGGAGACATCGTAATGTTGCATAAAGGCCAAAGAGTACCAGCAGATATGATTTTGTTACGGACCAATGAGACCATGGGAACGGTGTTTATACGAACTGATCAGTTGGACGGTGAAATTGATTGGAAGCTACGGTGAGGTTGTTTCTAAAAAGATTTGTTATCAGTTCTTATATTTTGTTGACTTCAATTTTTTTATCCACGTCCAATAAATTTTGACATCAATATCAAACAGCAGTTACACACGGAGATTTTTAACAGTGCGTCTGCAGCGATTCAGTCACTAGTACTTGGGAGTCTATGCAACCTCAAATGGCTTTGGTTGATTCCGCATAACAGTGAAAGTGTTGAATCGATCACTTTGGAAAAAATACGGTGTGAAAACACGATTCCTAAAAATTTTCGATACGATAGCGACTTTCTTTCTATTTCGATAAAGTTCGACTTTCAAACTTACCTCGAAATTTTACAAGAAAACCGCTGTATTCAATAGGTACTTTACATATACCTATGATTTATTTTTATATCAACTGAATTAAATAGAACACGTACAGTATACGATATATGTTTTTCAAATGATTTTTATTTCGGTTGTAAAAATATAAATTCTGAAATAAAGCCAGTGCCCCTGCCGTCTGACCCAAACAAAATTAACCGTAGTAGGTAGTATCGACTTTTAAACAGCGATACAATCGCGACACACGTTTTTAATGATTCTACGTAGGCGACTACATACGCGTATCACAATCGCACGATAGCTTCTAATAGGCTCAACAAACACTGGCGCAGAGTCGAAGCGTCGCGACGCGTTGTTATTCGGTTATAGCATATTCATCTCTATTTTCCCATTATTAAGGTACAAATAAGTATTAGGTATGCAAATACGGAATCGCGCGTTGAAGCTTGACGGCACACGCCTTCGTCTTCGCCTTTTTGTAGTTTCTTAATTATTTTTTTCTACACAGAAAATGATTGGGCCTATACTTTAAATAAACCACACACATTACATTTTCCTACATTAAGAGATAAAAAATAAAATGTATATTTCTCCATACAAAAAATATTTTTTTTTCTCTGAAACTATCAACATTTCAAGAAATCATACAAAAAAAAAGTTGTTAGCAATAATAATAATAATAATAAATAATAAATAACGCACACACTCAACATAGCCCCGCACTAGGGAAACCCTGTGCCGCGGGTGCCATGGATACACACATAGATAACCACAAATTACACCCAAACTCACGAGAGAAATAATTGTAGGCCATACAACTATTTCTCCCGGCCCGGGAATTGAACCTGGGACCTCTGTGTGGCAGTGGGCATGGTAACCGTTCGACCACGGAGGCAGTTATACTAGGCAGGTTGTATTAGGCAGTTATAGTTATAGAGACAGTTATATTGTTATTATCTATCACATAAAAAAAATTAGCTTGATACTCTATAATTTATTCCCATGTCCAAGAATTATCAATTATTATTTAATCATGGGAACAATTTTAGGAATACAGAGCGGATTTTTTTTTTTCATATGATAAATAATAACATTCCTGATAACTTTTATTCTTATGTAATTTCTTGAAAAGTTGATTATTTCAGAGAAAAGAAATTTTTTGTTTTTTTGTTTGGAGAAATAAACATTTATATATTTTAAATGTAATATGTGTGGCTTATTTGCAATATAGGTCCAATCATTCTCTATCAAGAAAAAAGAATCCAACTGCAGGTACTTGCGGCTTTACGAGTAAAAAGGTGTCAAAATTTTAGATTTGTTAATTATTTCTTAACACAATACACTAGTTTTTACTTAACTTTCATGTTATTGTTATAACACTCTAAATTACACTAAAATTAATTTTTCTTTAGTCGAAGCTCATGTATTTTGTTAAAAAAGTACATAAAAGAGTTAGCAATTTTGCCGCATCTTTACTTACAAAGCCGCAAGTACATGCAGTCAAATTCTTTTTTTCTACATAGAAATTTTAGAAACACGCACATTACATTTTCGTGTATTTTGAGATAAAAAATAAAATGTGTATTTCTCCATACAAATTTTTTTTTTTCTCCGAAACTATCAACTTTTCAAGAAATTATGCAAGAATAAAAGTTGTTAGAAAAATTATCTATCATATAAAAAAATTTGCTCGATACTCCACAAGTTATTCCTATGTCCAAAAACGGTCAAAAAAACAATTTGGGTCCACTGTGCGACGCACTATGGGAACCCTCTTAAGAGAGCCATCTCATAAATGCTTTTTACAAAAGCATGCGGGGATGCATGTATTATACCTTAAATCGTAGCTGAATAGTTACTCTATTATTATAAATAAGATTCAAATCTCTAACCATTCGTATGGCGCAGTTGAAATCATTTGAAGATAAGGAATAAAACAAATACAAAAACAACTTTGTAACTTTTATTTCTTCGATATGATTTTCTAGTATGAAAACAATAGAAATCATAGAAGTTTTACCCCATTTTAGAAAGCTTGGAATGTGTACCTTACTTTGAGATATAAAAAATGTGTAATTTAGCACAACATTATTTAAAGAAAAATATATAAACATCATATGTAATATTTTCTTTTTCTAATCTTTGACTTTGAGATATGACAGTTGCCGAAGCTTGCCGAAGTTCTATTTTTTGTGTTATTTTGTAAGAAATATGATATACTTAGATGGCAAACAAAAATTTCTTGCGGTTTCAGTGCGGAACATGTTTTAATTTTGTAAAATATGCAGTAAACTTTTTATTAATTTTAATTTCGTACATTAAGAGTTTCTATTTTTCGGAATTTTCTGCCCGTACCGTCAAAAAACGCATATGACACTATTGTTAGATTATATTTTATATTTTGCGGTATTTTTATCACATATTTCTCACAGAATTTGATTCCAATTGACAAACAGTACCATTAAAAACCGCATAACCGCATTATGATAAATTAGTTTTTATCAAGTAATTTTGCACTCGTCTTCTGTCATTATTTAGTATAAAACAGTGACTTTTTCATTAAACATTACAGTTCTTCATTAGTTTTTGTTATTAGCAAAAGTTTGTTACGCAGTAACTTTCCGCAATGAGTGAATTCTCGTGCACCAGACGCGACTTAAGTCTCGTGTTGATTGAAAATGATTCGAATTATGTTGTTTCTATTACACATTATATACGAAGCAATTTCACAGAATCTTCAGATGAAAACATAGCAAAAATTATAGCAAATATTCAAAAATCCTTCATAAACCAGTTTCGTCAACGCTTTTCTAAAGCGGGTTGAAAGAAAGATCTGTTTTTAAGTAAAAACAGCAATTGGTTGGATGGCATATTCACGGTGAAACTAGAAGAACCTACATGCCAACCTGAACCTTCTACATCAGAAGAAAAAAGAGGAAGACCTTCTAAAACGTACGAAGATAGTTCAGTGAGCACAAAAAAACGTAAAAACAAGGAATTGCTTGATTCATGTGGACTTGATTTCATATTGAACTCGTACATACAGGGCTTAAGGTCTCGTGGCGAAGTAGAAGAAGCCTTAATTGTTGAAGTTTTACGAACATTGCCGTCAGAAAAAAAAGTGAAATACGCAATAGTCTTCTTAATGAACCAGCACATATAACAGCGTATTCAAAAGACGAAGCACTCAGCATTTTTATAGAATTAAATCTGAACAAGGCACAGTATGACAATATGAGAAATTGTTTAATTACAAAAAATTTTCTGTTAATTATTTATTAATTGTTTCCTTCTTACAAGTCGATTCCTGAAGCTAAGCGAATGTGCTATCCACCAGAATCTAGCGTTGAAATTACTAACATAAAAGCACAAATAAAACTACAAGATCTTTTAGATCACACTTCAGCCAGACTTCTAAAAATTAATGATGTTTATAAAGTGGGTTCAACCCACTTAATGCTATATTCCAAATGGGGCTGTGATGGATCAAGTGGACAAAGCGAATACAAACTACCCCTGTCTGAAGAGAGTGATCTAATTTCAGACTCTACTTTATTTATATCATCTTTAGTGCCATTGCGACTTATTGATACCAATACTAATGAAGTATTGTGGAATAATCCTGTTCCTTCGTCAGTGAGATTTTGCCGATCAATTTTGATAGAATTTTCAAAAGAAACAGCTGAGAAAACGACACTGGTAGTCAGCGAAATTAATGCTCAAATTTTAGCCCTGAATCCTTCCCTAATTAATCACAATGGAGAAGGTATTGAAATAAAACACACGTTGTTTTTAACTATGATTGATGGGAAACAGGCCCAAGTTTTGTCAGAAACTTCCTCAAGTGCTGTGTGCACTATTTGCAGTGCAAGACCTACAGAAATGAATAATTTAGAAAGAGTGCGAAACAAACCTGTGGATGAAGCTTCTTATCAATATGGGCTTTCAACTTTGCATTGTTGGATTAGATTTATGGAACTTATTTTACATTTATCTTACAATCTAGGTTTTGAAAAATGGTCTGCCACAACAACAGAGAATAAAGATTTAAAAAAGCAAAAGAAAGCTTACGTACAAAGAAGGTTCAGAGAAGAACTTGGATTGAATATAGATAAACCTAAACAAGTAAGTGGCAACACTAATGACGGTAATACAGCCAGAAGATTTTTCCAAAACTACCATTGTTCATCAGAAATCACTGGAATAAATGAGGAATTAATAAAACGGTTTTATATTATACTTCAGGTCATGTCAAGTGGTAGAGGTATTGATGCCACGAAATTTGGACAGTATGCATTCGATACAGCACAGCTGTATGTTAATAAATATAAATGGTGTTACATGCCGTCATCAGTGCACAAAGTGTTGATTCATGGTGAGAGTGTCATACGTCATTTTTCTGTCTTGCCTCTTAGACAACTCCCTGAAGATGCTCAAGAGTCACAAAGACTACAAGCAGTTCAGACTTCATCATGTAAGAAAATGTTCGAGGGCAGCCACCAACGAAGACGTTATACACACACTTTTGTATACCTCTGATCCATACATTACAAGCTTGAGAAAACCTTACAACAATAAATATTTGGAACTTCTTGATGAAGCAAAAGAGCTCCTGAGTGACTATTAAGCTATGTTTTTATGTATTCTTGATATTTAAAGTAGGTACTTCATCTTATTAATCTATAAATTTATAAGAACATGCATGGTTAAATCTAAGAAATTAATACTTTTTTATTCCTTAATTTTTTATAACTATAATAAATAAAATTTGACTTATAAAGTGTATATTATTTAAGAGAATATCTATTTAGGTATACCCAGAAAAAAAATCAGGTAGATATCATCAAAAACACGGAAGTTATAGATTTATGATATGAAAAGGAGTCAAGGTTCCCATAGTGCGACGCTTCGACTCTGCGCCAATGTGAGTTGAGCCATAGTCGCTATGTGTAACCGCTCTATAAGTGATACGAACGTTCATATTAATATCAATATAATCTATACATTCATATTGCTTTAAATATCTGCATTTTGGAGAAAAATTAACTTTGTGTGTGTTGGTTCTTTCTTATTAAAGGCAGTATCTCTATAAAACAACATCGAATTGGGACGAAACAATCATAACTTTGTTTATTACCATTCGGATAACGGGGAATTACCGACAGATTCAATCGACTTTTATTATTATAGTATTAGGTATGTAGCGATATGAGAGTATACAGCGATGGAATTGTCTATGTCACAGTTTACATAATTTTTTGATAAATAGAAACGCTTCAAACTGATAATAACATGTTAGGCTAGGATTGCCATATAAATGAATTATTCAAAACAGTTATATAATGTATATTTTTATAATAGTCTATCACGTGTTTTTGCCTGAGTTAAGTAAGTGATGCGGCAAACGGTACACGCATTTCCTTTAAAAAACACACGCATAAATCATGATAATAATGTCGCACACACTCATAGCCACGCTCTAAAATAGATAAACGCATGCATGGGCAATGTTCGACTGTGTAGAAGGGCCTTAATGAATGATTCTTGTATTTCCAGAATACCCCTACCATCCACGCAAAAACTACCCACCGACGCGCACCTCCTGGACATAAACGCTCAGATATTCGTAGAAAAACCGGTGAAGGACATTCATTCGTTCGTAGGAACATGTACAAGATTTGACGAAGAAGAGAGTGACTCTCTAGAAATTGAAAACACTTTGTGGAGCGGCTGCGTAGTCGCTTCGGGGCAAGCCACTGGGCTTATCATTTATACTGGTAAATAAGCTTTTCATTAACAATTCATTCTGTTTTTTTAATATGAAATATATAGCTTGGCATGTAGATTTACAATGTCAGTCAATCCTGAACGATGATGGTGATGGTTTGTATAGAGTTACACTACTTGTCTTATTATATATACTATGGTTCTACCGACTAAGGCTGCGTTCCCACTTTGACGTGGCGACAGATAGTCGTGCAGTTTAAAGTGTCGTGGCTTGTATATTTAAATCTGGTTGTTCACATATAGCACAACACAAGCACACTCTTGCGTGACACGGAGCAGTGTTATAATCGCCTTAAGCGCAGGCCACATCGTGAGCGAAGCTGTGCTGAGTTAGATTTTGCTCACGTAGCCGCGGCATATTTCCGTACATCTGTTCGCCCTGCGAACTAAACTAACCTAGAGCTAGAGCTAAGGTTGCATAGTTGGTTGCATGCAGCTACTTGAGCTTTATCTAACTTAGCTTAGCTTCGGTCGCGGTGTTGCCTGCACTGTGGTGATGCGAGCTCTTTCATCGTGATTCCATCTTTTTATTACCCTTTTCTCTGGTTCTTGCCATTACTTGGAATTTTGAATCGTTCTTAAATTCTTATTATTCTTCGTCACTTACTTTTCTTCTTGCCATCGCTACTCTCTACTAAATTTCCGAAGCGAGCAGACGTGCTATCTCTCATTATACTAATTACAAATACAATAATTTATTATATACGTTTAACGATATAATATGTGTATATACATACATCACACTTTTTTGTGGAAAAGTGCATAATGTCGAAGCTCTGATATGTCAAGAAATGACAAACCTCCACAATCACACCAACAAGACTCTCTAGGCTACACTACAATCTACAGGACATGCTTGAGCGGTGCCAGCAGAACGTGACAGCTCTTTAAACATGCATGTCGAACAATGTTCACGACTCTTGGGTAACGTGTAGATATATCCCCGATAGGCTCAATTTATATTGCGGCTGAACAGAATGGAAGTAAATTTTTGTAAGGATATTGTACATAGCGTAATGAACTTTATAGTCAATTGTGTGACGTACAAACTAGATCAGAGAAGCGAAATTGACGCTTTCGTTCCATTCCATTCCGCCGCAATGTAATTGAGCCGAAGTGGAACATATAAAGGTTGATGCTGCAGTACTATGGAAGTTGGGGACTTCACACGTTTTCCATGGGCTGTGACCTTAGACGTGCAGGATTCATCACGATGTTTATAGCTACTGGACATTCACAAATGTACAAACTTAAAATTATGATTATAGGTACATCCTGCCAAACGGATTTCAACAGTCGGCCTGTCAATTGAGATCCAGCTATTCCCCTAATAGGCTAACAGTGCTCGTGCTTTATTTCTTTACAATCATACGTTTTTTACAGGCACAGAAACTCGCAGCGTAATGAACAACGCGGCGCCTCGTTCCAAAGTTGGTCATCTAGATTTACAAGTGAACGATCTAACCAAAGTGCTTTTCCTGGCGACTCTTTTGACTTCTCTCCTTCTGATTGTATTGAAGGGATTTAATGGGCCGTGGTATGGATTCCTGTTTAGATTTGTTCTACTGTTCTCTTACATCGTCCCTATTAGGTAAGTTCGTTGAAAAGACTTGTACTGTATTAGTATGGAACTTGGTAGTTTAGTTGCAGAAAAATTTCACCAGACTCAACTGTTTTTTGCTTGATATAAGATTGAAATAAAGACCTTAGCAGAATAAATAAAAATATTGTGAGCTGCATTTTTAAATTGATTTAAAACTAATTTGTAGCATACTTTTTTATAATTTCAAATGACGGGACGAACACGTCGTGCGCCTGATGGTAAGCTACACGCCTGTCCATAACAGTTGCAGTGTCACTCAGGGTTTTAAATCTCAAAGATCTGAGGGGCACTCCCACTGCGCCCGTCACTCTGAGACATAAGATGACAAGTCCTTTGTGCCTGTCATCTCGCCAGCCAGCACCATTTATCCTTCTATACCGGAACGCAGTAATGCTCACTTTGCTGCTTGGCGGCAGAAATTTTTTGAAACCTTGTCTAATACACATTGTCTTTGTTTATGAAATAGTTTAGAAACTAAATTGCATAACGGAAATAAACGCGATTAAACAATTTAATAGGTGGTTATTGTCACACTTACTTATTATCCCAAGATTTAGACCAGGTTACCAGGGTCAACGGTCAGTGCAACCTGACCGAAACGTCGCCGTCGGGGTAATAGGTAGGTGTGAAAGTACCTATCAAATTGTTTTATCGCCTTTATTCCCGTTTTGAAATGTTAGTATAATTCCACGTGAAAGTTTAAAAGTGTATATAGTCTAAAGGCTAATTTTCACGCGTCGATGCATGCTTTCATTGACCTCGCCTTTTTTAGGGCATAAAGGGCGTAACGACCAATTTTATAAAAAAATCATTCTTTTTCGATCTGTCTATTCAGTTTTGTTATCCAATAAAATTTTCTTTTTTCACCTAAATATAGTTAAATATAGTCATAGTTATAAAAATAATTATAAAAAATTAACCTGAACATTAATAAGGGCGTTGGGCGCAGTGGCATTGCCCCTCAGATCTTTGTGATTTAGCGCTAGTTCGTCCCGTAATTTTTTTTTTTTTATAAATAGGTTAGTTATTTTTTCTCTTCTTGTAAACTTTGTAATTTGATATGTACGCTCTTTCTAAACAATAAAATATACTATAATCTACTATTTACATCTTCGGTGAATACCTACATACCTGCGCACATCTGCAAAGCTATGTAATTATGTGTGTGATGTTTCCAATCCGTTTTAGGCACGCGTGGGAACTGTAGCCAAAACCCTCTCATTATGAGAGGAGGCATATATCCAGCAGTGGAACTGTAATATAGGCTAACTATTTTACATCTTACAGCTTAAGAGTCAATCTAGAAATGGGCAAAGTGTTCTACTCGTGGACAATACAAAGAGACGAGAAGATAGAAGGAACCGTGATGCGATCGACCACAATCCCAGAAGAACTTGGTCGGATACAGTATCTTTTAGCTGACAAGACAGGAACTTTGACAAAGAATGAAATGGTCTTCCAAAAACTTCACTTGGGAAATGCTTTGTATGATAGTAACAATTTTTATGAGGTAAATATTTTTTATGGGTGTTCCCTAACAATTAAATTGTCTTCGGAACGAAAAAAGGGGTAACTTATGTTTTTACCAAATTGAGTTGTGTACATACTCGGGGTCCGGAAAAACAGGCCAATCTACCAAATTTATTGTAGAAATAGATCTCAATAATTGTTGGATACTTCTTCGTTATAAAGTTGTAGCTTCATCTATACCGTCGATGAATCCTCCAATGTCGAGTTACGCATGAGTTACGTTTTTTACTCAACATTTTACCGATGAATTTCGACAGAAATCACTGAGAGGAGAATACACAAAGAACATCTGACGGCAATAAATAATCTGACTTTTTATCTTAAAACTGATATTTAAAGTTTAGTCAGTTAAAACACTAATAACAAAGGATTTTTCTTAGTAATATACGGAACTATGTGCTTATTGTGCAATTTAATTACTATAAGTATTTCATAATTAACACAAAAGAAGGCTCTGACTATAATTGACAAAAGTCGCACACAATTATAGTAATTGTGTCCTTGAGTTTTATTATAAGGCAGTAATAATACATTTATTTTTATTTTTCTACTGAGTTAAGTGAGAAAAGATTTGTTTTAAAGACTAATTTTCTAATACAATGAAAGTTTCTGTATAAATTATGTCTTTTGTTATCGAGTTCTTAGGTTTTCACGATTGTTACATATAGGAAATGAAACTATTTATATATAACTATCCAGATTTAAATTGATTTAATATAAATTTCTGATAAAAATAGTTTAATTTCCTATGTCTTTTGTCGTTTAACAAAATATATTTTAACTATTCCTTTTATCAGAAAAACCTAGTAAATCGTTAAACTCATTTAACTCCGAACTTTGAATTTATTGCTTGTGCCTTTCTTCCAAGGGCAGTTTATACTGCCTTGGAAGAAAGCCTGCAAAAGTTAAAAGGCATATACTTACAATCAAGTTAGATTGCGGTTGAAACGCTCGCATATTAATAAAGAAGCATATTACCATTGACTTACAATTATATGGACGTCAGGTCCGCGCTAAAGTGTCCGAACTTATAGGGCGTTAAAATCGTATACAGAGCGTCATTCACGCTTTAGTCTTCGTTTGTTCGACTGACAGCGAAGCAAGCAAAATTAGACAGTACTGCGATGACATTACAATTTAAATTCAACGTCTTAGCTTTTTCATATTCCTTTACATGTCACTACGTTTAAATAGGTTGACTTGGGACATTTTTTCGTGGTTTTTGTATTAGACCCGTCGTCCATTTATTTGTAAGTCAATGCATATTACAGATTAACTTATCTTATTCCAGGTAGAGGCATTCCTGACCCAATACGTTACCAACGACGCGCCGTCTCTTCCTACGTCACCGATCGCCGAAGGAGGCGTCTTAACACCGACTCCACGTCAAGTGTGGAACGCAGTGTTGGCTCTGGCATTGTGTCATAATGTGACGCCAGTTTATGACATCGAACGTCGTGATGCTGATATAGACGAATCTCAGTCAGGTAAGACAACATTTTTAATGATTACTATTGGTACAAATTGGTATAAACAAACAAACACATTGAAATACTATGAAATCTTGATAACGATTGGTCATAGTTTCTAATTTAAAAAGAAACAACAGTCCAGCTGTTAATATAATTTAAACTTTACCTTGTTGGCATATCGTTGAAAGTTAAGTACCTATTGTTGCTAGGTACGAAGTTTTTATTTTATATTGAAATTTCAATCAATGTGCTGCCATCTAGCGGTCAATAGCTGAACGACGACGAATTCGAGATTTGACTTAGTTTTCCAAAAAAGAAGCAACCACATTGCTGCGGAATAAGGTTTACTTTCGTTTCTTGTAACAAAAAAGATATTACGATAAACAGAAAATTGATTAAATTTAAATATAATAAGACTTAACGATGATATGAAACACCACCATAGATAATATTACAAGTGCAGCTATCATTTTTGCACTCCACAGTACCAAAATAAGCATTTTTCTACGATTTTCGACGTCTAGTGCAAATAATTGACTCGACCATAACGTACAAAGCGAAAATTGCAGGCTAAGTTAAAGTTTGTGGAACTCCGCGTACTGTTGGCGCACGTGCCTTGCAAACTAAGCACTTCTACTGTATTTATTTATTATTTTAACAAACACAAAGAAAAATTCCTTCGACCAGGCTGAATTCGAACTAGCGTCTGTCGCTTCAGTGTGGCTACCGCTCTTACCAACTGAACTACGGATCGAATACGAATTTCTTTATGTGCGTATTGCGGACAAGCGTTGTGTCGTATGTAAATATTTCTAAATTACAGACATGGCGAGCTCAGTGGTGTCGGACAGCTGCGGCGGCGCAGTGCCTCAGCAGCAGCTCTGCGATTATCAAGCTTCAAGTCCTGATGAAGTCGCCTTGGTCAAGTGGACTGACATGGTCAGTATCATTCGTTAAAGCAACTTGTTCAATAGGTTCTTTTTCTTCCTTAGACCCGTGCCCAGCGGTAGGATCTGTACGTCGAGTATATAACCAGAAATAGAGACGCAATAAGGGCCATCTATCCCTGGCAACTAACTCATCAGGCAAATAGGCCTTATATCACTTTTAAATATCAACTCTCGTTTGCACTGAAATCACAAATTAGAAAGCTGAAATAGTACAGTGCCAACAACTGGCCTGTGTGTACATTCCAAAAATATTCTGTATTTATTGTAATAAAGATAATACCTCTAACTATGGGGGGCTGTTCCATACCCTGTCCCGGTGTGGGAAAAACAGCAAAACATCTAATTAAAAAACTAACGGACTCACATTTCGTTCGTAATTAAATATCAAATATGTAATTTTTCAATTTTCGTCCATTATAGCAAAGCTCACGTTAAACTGAGCGACGACGATGACACCCGTCAATGACATTTCGTCTCTATTTCTGGAACTCGATGGACCTGTAGGGGAAATTGAGCATTAGTCTATCTCCACATTGAATAAACACATGAGGCACGGGCGACCTCTATTAGATTCAGGCTGAGATTTATTATTGTTCTGTTTTATTATTAAAATTTTACTATAGTCGTAAATATGCCATTTAAATAATTACGTACCAAAGAGTAATTAGATATATTTTTGTTACAGATGGGCATATCCCTGTACCGAAGAGACCTGCACAATATATCGCTGAAATTACGCGCCGCCAACGAAATAGTACAATACAGTATTTTGCAGGTATTCCCATTTACCAGCGAAAGTAAAATGATGGGCATTATTGTACAGGTAATATTTGAAGTATAATACTACAAGGCGGTAAAAAAACCACGTTTGAAATTTTATAATTTTAATCCAAAATACGAGTACTACATTCAGTTCCTTTGCGTCCATCCATATTTTCGATATCAAGATTTCGATAACACAAGTGCCTTAGCTACTTACTTTGGGATCAGAGCAACGCATGAGCAAAACGTATGATTTATTTATTATTTATATTGAATGACCAGCCAGTATTTATAATTACAATGCCACTTACATTATTACAAATAAAAGTGGGTTTTGGACGCCAAAAGACTCATAGCACAAATCTAACTTCGTTTGAGATTTTGTCTTTCACTGATAACTCTTATGTTTCCTGTACCACGTACCTGGAGGTTGATTCAGACCTTACGATAACTCGGTTGTCGACCGATTCGATGTGATATCGTACAATTTCTTTTCATTTTTATTCACAACACCCGAACGTCCCATTGTTTGCAAAGGAAGAATATAATATGGAAATCTCTTATTATTTTAAATAAAGTCAGGATTTTGTTAGTTTATTAAGTTATTTTAATGCAACTCTAAGGCATTCCTATATTTTAGGCCTTTGATGTCTTAAAAATGTACATAAATGGACTTTAATTTTTCTTATAATCTAAACGCTGTTGGATAACGATATCGGATCCCAATTTGAATCGAACGTTTAACTCGAATGTTCTGAATCGCTCGGAAAGTGCCCTTCGATTAGAGAGAGATTCGAGAACGATATACCTAACCATTGTGTTAAAATATCGAAGAGTTTTGATTCGGGGTCCTGATGGAAGAAAATTATGAAAAAAACGATTTAATTATTTTTCAGGACGAAAATACCGGCAAAATAACATACTACGTAAAAGGTGCCGACGTAGCTCTGGAGAAATTGTTGAACTCGAACTGGCTTAACACAGAATGCAAGAAACTAGCCGCTGATGGATTGCGCACAATGGTGGTGGCTCGGCGGACTTTAACTAACGAGGAATACTCGGCTTTTGAGGTATGATTGTGAATATGTGACAGTTTTTTTTTATGAATTACAAGTTGATAAACAAACGATTCATCTAATAGTCCCAATATTTTCAAAACTGGACATGGATGGACATTCGCAATTACGAGAAATAGTGGAAAATGCTCAAAGGAGGAGTTACGAGCCTATTTATATAAAACTTATAACTCAATTATTAGATTTTAGAATTTTGGAGGATTTTAGAATTTTGAAGATTTTTTTGTTTTTAATTGAATAAGAAAAATGGAAGTAAAATAAGTCAAGTGACTTAATCGCAAAATCCGCAAGACCAGTGAATCGTTCAAAATAGCTGCGCTTGCATTGATTTTTGTTTTTCATGCAGTTATCTATCAATGGGAGATTCATGCAGTGCCGCTCAGAGCTTTAAATCGCAAAGATTTGAGGGACACTGTCTCTGCGCCCATCACCCTGAGACATAAGTTGACAAGTCCCATGTGCCTGTAACTTCACCAGCACCCTTGGCGGCAGAAATAGACAAGTTAGCAGTACTACCCTAGATGAACTCTTCAAGGAGCTCTACTGCCACGAAAATAAAATTAATGCTCAAACCTATACATGTCGTTCACGTTGACTACTGTTAATTTAAATGTTGAAACTTATGGATGAACGTTTTATTTGCATGCACAGAGTAAGTACAAAGAAGCACGGCTGAGTACAAACCGCAATGAGAGAACTGCCGCAGCGATGTCCAAGTTGCACAGCTGCTTGGAGCTGCTATGTTTAACCGGGGTCGAAGACAGGCTGGCCGATGATGTACCAAGGACTTTGGCTATGCTGAGAACTGCTGGCATTAAGGTAAATTTAGGTTAATTCCATTGCGCATGTAACACCCGTTTCCAGTGGCGGATTTGCCCTAAGCCTGGGCCTACTGGAGGCCCTGTTTCTACTAATTGTTTGTCAAAGTAAAAATTTTAAGTCACCATTTCTGCTTATAATCGGACAAATTTTTACCTGGAAAATGAAACTATTTTTCTGGATTTAAATCGCGTATACTTATTTTTTCAAACAAACCTTTGTTTGAAATTTAAATCCGGAAAAATAGTTTAATTTCCTATGTGTTTTTTACACTTTTTACAATTTTGTCTATCAACTAATGTCTATGAAACTCTTGATAGTGTTGTCATTTAAACATTGTTTCTGCAGATTATTTGTCAAGTTTAGACAGCATACTTCTATAAATACTCTTAGACTATGGAAACCAAAGGACGAAAAGGAAAACATAAACATTTTATTGTCTTTGTTTAACTACTGCGTGCCATCGTAAGCCAAAAGAGATAGCACTACATTGATTTATGTCAAACACAGGAATCGAAAATACGTAACTGTCCTCATTTTACCATTTTTGCAGTACCCTTTGATAACCGTTTCCGATTGTCAAGGGGAAGTACATCAAATGTCAAAACCAATGGTTGGCCAAATGTTTTATTGAATTATTCGCATGAATTGTAATGAAATGGACAAAAATATTGACAGGGAGAACAATTAAGTATTGATTAAAACGCGTCGCTGCAGCATTATGGGGTGCGGCAGTAGAAAATCGGAAATCAACCGAATGTTACATTACAACTTCGTGTGTTATTTTTCTGCCTATAATTCATAAGTCTTGCCGAATTTAGCTTTGGTTACTTTAGATTGCCTGTTTGGTAGTATATTTTGAAGATTGTTGATAACGATTATTTTGAGATAGTGTTGTTCTAGAAAGCAGACTTATTATCGATATTCTGTTATTAAAACTATTCAATACGAGGTTTTTATTATTTCATTATTATTATTTTTAAAGATAACCTACAAATGAAAAAAGAAAGAAAGAATGGTTGGAAATTGTAGGACTGCCGAACATAAACATTGGATCAAATACCTTCTTCGTTTATTCGCTCCATTTTGAAGTCAAATTTTAATAGAACTTAGAATGTAATTAGATTACATGATAATGCAATTCCATCGTTACACTTATTGGTAAATAACTTTATATTTAATTTTGATTAAAATGGCTCATTACTTGCCTAGTAATAATAGCCTAGTATTAATCATACTTTGATTACAGTAAACTACACAAATTTGCAAACATAAAAAACACTTTCAACGTTTAAGCCATACATTTGCATGTCGATATTGACTTATCTATGATTATGGTACAACTCTAAATCCGCCATTTGTGATGGACATTGTTGGTTTAGGTAGGGACGTTTATTCTCCTTTCCTTTATTTTTTTCCATCCTCTAAGTAAATACTACGTTTAGCTCTTGTTACATTATATTTATTTCAAAGAAGTACAAGAAAGGGTGGTGCAAGAACCGTAACGGGTGTTACGTATTTTTTTAATGACCCTTTAGTATTTAAGGATGATGCTTGCCTAGAAAGTACCTATTTCGATCTCGCTTTAGAAATGTCCATGTTATGATGCGACTTGGATGACCCTGCTTCACTTACACAAACAACTTCCCGAGAAGTACAAGTTAGGGTGATACAAGTTTGGATAGTAAATAGGTATTTTTTAGATAAACAACTTTGCGACTTTGCATAACAAATAACTATTTTAAGTGTAAAAATTTTATCTATGCAATAAATGATTATTTGACTTAGACTTTGACTTACTGTCACAATAAATTACATTTCAGATCTGGATGTTAACCGGCGATAAATTAGAAACTGCGTTATGCATTGCGCGGTCACTGCAACTAGGCGGTGGTACCAATTGGCATGTTGCTAACGAGTGCGCCAATAGACGAGATGCGTATCAATTGTTACAGGAATTGGTCAATTCGGAAGCTACTGATTTTATTATTGAAGGCGAGACTTTAGAGGTAAGGTAGTGAAAATGCTATCCTTAAGAACAAAAAACCTAGCCAGAGCTGGATTTTATTTTTCATACAAATGCATGTTGGAGTCACATGTCAACAATTAAATCAAAATGTTTAAAACCTATACAAAAGCCGTAGCACATTGCAGTAGCCTTATTGGTTTGACCTACCACCTCTCAGGCAGAGACCATGGGTTCTAATCCAGGCCGCACCTCTGACTTTCTCGGAATTACTGTGCGAAATTTATCATGAACGTTCCGGTGAAGGAAAACATCGTAATGAAACCTGCACGTCGAAGAAGGGTCGCAACCCTTAGAAAATGTGCGAAATCCCCTGGGTGGTGGACTATGGCCTAACTAAACCCTCATCTGAGAGGAGCCCCGTGCCCAACAGCGGGACTGATTGTGATTCAAAACCTACCTATCACGAGAAGGCGGGATCTGCTAATAATAATAATTTGTTGATAGAAACCTTAAACTAGAAATAATTTTCATCAAACGTTTGAAAACATTGTCTTGGTTTATTTATCCATAAACAAAGCCAGTGTGTACACTACACACATCAAAAATACTAATATAAGATAGTTTATATTACAGTATTTTTAATAAGATTTGATATATTTAATATTATTACGCTTCGTGTTTTTTTGTTGTGTCATTGCGCTAGATATGTCACTGTACAAATTGGCTTTGGCTTATTTCCATATGTAAAAACGAAAAAAATAAATTTTATAAAAAAAAATCAACATTGTAGAATGTCACGTCATTAAGGTAATTATTAAGTAAAGATTTCTTAAATTCTGCACAGTACTAATAAAAATTAAATATTTGTACTCTTGAGTGAATTGTTGTGTCTTTAGAATGTAATTTAAACTCTTGATTATCTGAGTAAGTTTTTAATAGAACAGTTCATTTTTGAACAGATTTGTCTTCGTTCATACGAAGAAGAGTTTGTGGAGGTACTACAGCGTTGTACGGGCGTGGTAGTTGCGCGATGTTCGCCAACGCAGAAGGCGCAAGTGGCGCGACTGCTGCGAGCCAGAAAGAAGGTCGTGGCAGCCGTTGGAGACGGAGGCAACGATGTCGCTATGATCCAAGAGGCCGATATGGGTGAGTCAAACAAAATGACTACATTTGTCGTTCTTTAGTTCAAAAACGCTCAGCGAGCAATGGAACGAGCTATTCTCGGAGTTTATCCGGAGAATAAGATTCGAAAAGAAGTTATCCGACAGAGAACCTAGGACTTCGACGTAACTGGTAGAATAAGCAACTCAAGTGGCAGTATTTGTCGAAGAACCGATATCCAATGGAGAAACGAGTTCTTGACTAGAGATCACGGCTCGGCAAGCGTAGTGTAAGCCGTCTAAGCCAGATAGAGTAACATCTGCGAAATCTGACTGCGCGAAATTACTCTTGCGATTTAAAGCTCTGAATGGTACTGCAACTGTTATGGATAGGCGTGTAGCTTACCATCAGGTACAAAACCTGTTCTTACCGTCACTTAGTATTATGAAAAAAGAAATAGGCACATTTTTTATTGGGTTCTTATGATAAATAGCTATTGCTAACTCACAGTCTTGGTAGCCCAGTGGGACAACGGTAACTTCTCAATAGGATACCGGACATGTTTTCGGAAAGTATTTAATATTCACCTTAATAGATATTTACAATGCAACCACTAAAATGTACTATTTTATTTAAATACAGCTTTTAAAGCGCCTAAAACTATGTTCAAATGTAAAAACTGGACAATGTGCACTTTCCATTCACGAGAATTTAACGTATTGACAAACGTACAGACCTCAATCCAAAATTTATACAGTTTTTAATAAAAAGTAATTTAATAAGCTAACAATGAGTACGGTGACGTTTATTATGACGTCCCGTTTTGTGTTTGGTATTTGCATAACTGTTTAAAAATATTACGATTTTCAGATTTTATTTAATAATTTTAAAAATATTTATTCAATGATAGTTTTTGTTATAGAAACATACGTTCAGACTACCTTTAAGATTTTTTCTGATTATTGTCCGATTGCATATTGTTTTCTTCATTTATTTAGTGCAGAGTAATATATAATACAGATTTATTATATCAATATAATGAAACGTCATAACTTCGTGAGCTAGTAGACAAAGCTTCTCGAATTTCCAATTTATTTTGCCGATAAATATTACGTAGTGAATTATACCTAATTATTAACTAGGTAATGATAAACTTGGACAGGCAATTTCAAATACATTACCTTATTTAAAAATACCTATCCAAAATACAACATTTTAAGTGCTTTTAATATATTTTTAAAATAAATCTACAGTATTATTCTTGTTAGTGAATTAATGAAAAATATAATATTATATCGATATAAATACCTAAAAACATACGCAATTGTTACAATTATATTAATGGAATTAAAGATAACAGATTCGCTTAAGAATTTTCGCTATGTTGCCGCTCTGACCACGTAACGTAATTGTACGAGATAGTAATGGGTAACCCTGCCACTTCCCGCACCCATTTGCACATGTGCAGAATGCGTTGCTGTATGTAGTAGTAGTAGGTAAATAACTTTCGACTGTTGGGATGTGCCTATACCCAGACTCTTGGAAAACATGTGGAGTCCCCAACCCACATTGGGCTGGCGTGCCGGTGTTAAGTCTAGTAAGTGACATAATGGGTGGATGCTTCACTGGCAGGCGATTTTTTAGAGGTGTTGGTGTAAACATTTTAATAAACAATATATATACTTATACAATATATAAATATACTTCAGCATCAATATAAAACGAACGGTACCTTGATTGAGTGCTTCGGTATAGTATCTTCTTTGAATCTGTTACAATTGGTATAACAATAACATTCTGATATTTTACTTACAACAGGAATCGGAATAGAAGGCGCGGAAGGTCGAGCGGCGTCACTAGCTGGTGATGTGAGCATCCGTCAGTTTTCCTTCCTGGCAACACTGTTACTCGTCCACGGGCGAAGATCCATGATGCGCTCAGCTGCCTTGTGTCTCTTTATCGTGCATCGTGGACTTATTGTATCTACTATGCAAGTTAGTGAATTCACGTTCATGTTATATGTTTATTATAGCAACAAAGTTAACGACGGACAGTGACAGAGAAAATCTTGTCAATAAAATAAAGCATTTTTAACCGACTAAAAAAAGGACGAAGCTCTCAATTCGTTTGTTTTTTGTTAGGATCTATGTTACGCTATAATTTGTGAACCGGTAAAAGAGAGTACCTCGTTAGTGGTCCCATTTAAATTTGAAGAAAATATTCCACCTCTAAGGGTGGCTAACGAGGGGATGAATCCGGTTTCGTGCCCTTTCCGGTAACCGATTTCAATAAAACTTAGCAAATAGATGTTAGAAATAGATTCCACGTACTTTTGAGGTCGGCTTTTTTATACTGTAACACTTTTCCTTAATGTCTCGTATATACTTCTAGTAATTATAATTTAGTGAATAACTATGATTACCTCCTTGAGTGTCGCGTGTACACCCGGGTGCACATAAGCAAAAAGTGCTCTGCGTGTCGCTTGTACACCCAGGTGAACATAAGGAGTGAACTCTTATTAAAGTCGTCACCAAATAAGAGGCCAAATTTGACACTGTCATCGTGACGCGAATAGTGATCTGGACTAATCATATCGGTAATCACATTATGCTATTTTCACGAGAAATCTATTCAAAATTTTAAGAGTTTCTAATTGTTTAGATTATTATTCGGTTTATTGTTGTTTAGGGGGCAAAAAAGGCTAAATCGTGCAATTCTGTTAAAAACAATTCATTTACAGAATTCCTTGCAATTCTGTAGAAATTCCTCTCATTTTAGTAAAATTGTCCCACATTTCGATGAATTGTACCCAATTCTTTTAATTTTGATTTTTTATTATTCATATATGGTTTATTAAGAGAATTTATTTTATCGCCTCCTTTAGCTGTCAAATTTGGCCTATTTTGGTGACGACTATAGGTCTCGATATTTTTCATTCTGTTTTGTGCAATCGACTTTTTAGCTCTGTAGTATGAAAATATGGTTTCTATATTATATTATATAATATTAAACAAATCATGACGACTGTCGGCCATGATGTATTAACGAAGGACCTAACACAGACGCACTTGTACCCTGATATAATTATCATCGTAATAAAATTTAATTGCGTAATTTATGTTCACCAGGCCGTGTTCTCCGTTGTGTTCTATTTCTCGTCAGTGTCGCTTTACCCGGGATTCCTCATGGTCGGCTATGGAACTGTCTTCACGATGCTACCTGTGTTTTCTCTGGTAAATTTACAATATTAGACTGTGATATAAAAAAGGCATTAGATACAGGTGTTTGTTGAAAACACTGTCACATAACGATGCCTTACTGTCTCAAACTCGTATCTTATAAAGAGTGATTATTCAGGAGATGGCAAAACTTTCTATTTATTTGAAATTTTTTATCAAGAGTGTTAAGAATAGGTAAAAGTCAGTGTGTGAATATGAAGGAAATGTGACATGAAATCAGCCTGCAACTTTTGTATATACAATGCATTTTTTGCATTTCATTTACTTTGTGCTTTAAGATACGAGCTTGAGAAAGTAAGGCGACGATAAGCCTTACAGAAGGAATCGAGATCTTTCTGTAGTATGAAGATCCGCAGTCCTCTTGTTTTATTCATTTAAAAAACATTTAATGTTGCCCGATTGCCCATTGAATTCTGGTAATAACTAGGTAAACTTTTAGGGAATTGCCTGTACTCATAGTGCTATGAGTAACAGAGCAACGGAATCCACTCCGAGGCTATACCCGAAACACCCAAACCAGAACGAATTTATAAATGTTCCTTTCCCAAATTGATTCTACTGCTATGTAATATTAATAACCTTTTTTTTTCTAGGTACTTGACAAAGATTTACCAAGTACTACAGTATTGAGATATCCGCAACTTTACAAACAATTGACTAAAGGCAGACAACTTTCCTACAAGACGTTCTACATATGGACTGGAATTTCTATTTATCAAGGTAAATTCACTTTGTATTTCTGTATTATTTAATATTCCCACTAACATGTCGAATAACTTTTTGACCTCACTAGCTCGGAAAGACTTTCTTTCTCATTACATATCTGCGCGCAAAAGAGTTTTTTGCACGCTAGCGTGGAAAAGCTTTTTGAAATTTGTACTTAACGATGGACTGTGGTGCACATAACTTTTTCTTTCGATGAAAAAAAAAGATAATGGCACGTTCAATTAAGCGATTTGTCGTACATTACTTATAACTATATTTTATTCTTATTGTTGTTGACATTAAATTGACAATGATAACTAATTGTGTTTATTAAATTATTTTAATTCGTCGACGAACTAAAATAATTTCAATAATAATTTAATCACACAAAATAAAAGTACAAGCATGAATAAAAATTGATGAGGTGTTAATTCAGAACGCCTCCGAAGATAAACTTTTTTTTTTCATTACAAAAGTTTTTATACTTCAACTGTTTTTCTTTCATCTACCATTTCCCTCGCTATAGTGAGGTGAAAAGTTGTGTGTTTCGCTCGGCAGCAAAGTTGTTTTGCGTCTCGTGCCTTGAAATCCTCGCTATGTTCAGGAATCTGTATTTTAATCTTAGCTTCCTTCGCTTGCTCAGGTTTCAACTCTACACATTATACAAGCACTCACATCAAACAACAACTTTGCAGCCTTGCATAACAAATCAAATAACCATTTTTTTTTATTGATAATGAAAATACAAGATCCTGGTACAGGGGGTCTACTCCCATTCTCCGTCGGACATCCGTCCGAAACAATTACTGTCGAATAAGTAATACTCGACCGAATAAAAAGATGCATGATGCCTTAGACTATGGAAACAAAAGGACATATTATATTGACATATATAAATCACGTCGTTATATGTATATGATACATTTCGACGTTGAAAACATAAACATGTTATTGTCTTTGTTTAACTCTTGCGTGCCGTCTTAAGCCAAAAGAGATAGCATTACATTGGTCTGTATCAAACACGGGAATCGAAAATACGTAACGTCATCTTAAATGCCAACCGTGTCCATTTCGCAGTACATGAGGTACACATGATACGGTTGTCAAAGAGAAGTACATCAAATGTCGAAACATATGTTTTTCCGAGTGTTTTATTGAATTATTCGCATGTAATGTAATAAAATGGACAAAAACATTGACGGTGAGAATAATTAAGTATTAATAAAAATTCGTCGCTGTAGCGCTTGGCATTTGAGAAAGCGAAGATCGACCGAATGTAACATTGTACAGGCACGTCTTAATTTTCTGTCTATACATCACGCAAAAGCCCAAATATTTTGTCCATGTTGGGTTAGACATCAAAGTTAGAAATCAAAGGCGCTCGGCCAATAGTAGTCAATTGACATTGTATAATCAGACATTTACATGCTATTTAATATATGCGAAACATGTTTATACTAACACTGTCTCTTGATACATCTCCTGTTATATATGTTTTAAGCAAATAAACGTATGATAATAATATTATTATTGATAATATTACAACTTTCATTTATTTCCAAAATTAAATGGAAGTATTAAAGATTCACTTAAATCAGTCGTTGGTATTAATTCTATACCAATGCATAAATACAAAAAAACTTACACTATTTGGAATCTGTTTAAAAATTTCTCTATGAAAAAATTAATCTTGAGGTTGGAAATGTATAGGATTTGTATTACAAAGTTGTCTCTTTTTTATATACTCTCAAATTACAATATAATTTTATTCTGTGCACTTTTCTGTTCACTTTTCGTAATATTTGAGTATTTGTAAACGCAAAACAATAAATTGAAAATTTCATGTGACATTCCCGGATATTCCCATATAACCTAAAATATTCCCAAATGGAATATTGATCTACTTTAATTAAATGTTTGCATGTCGATAATGACTTATCGATAGATTATGGTACGATACTAAAGAAAGCCGCCATTTGTTCATTCAATTTTTGTTTAGGTATGCACGTTCATTCCGTAGTTAGGGCAGCTCCTTTCTTTAATTTTTTTCCATCCTCTAAGCATGATGCCAATGAAGCTTCATACTTGACAATGTTTTTGATTTGGTCGAGTTATACTTATTTGACGGTAATGGTTTCGAATGGATGTCCGACCAAGAACAGGATTAGACCCCTCCTGGATTGACTAAACTTCGGTCGATAAAAATAAAACACCAAGTTCCGCAAAATTTTAATTTTTTACAAAAAGGGAAAAATCAGTTTCATTCGATTGTTTCTAGAGATTTCTAGAGATATGATTTGATTGAATGAAAACTTCTCTCGTGTTTAGTAATAAATACATCAGGGGATTGTGAGCTTATTTTAAAGAAAGAGAGCGTATTTTATTTCTAATGGCAAATGTTTCAATACAGTGCAATGCATTTCTCCGCGTCTACCTCACACGTTTCAAAGCCTACGCAACCACAGAATTGTGAAAAAATACACATAAGAAAGACTTTTGTGCTTCGATATTCGATATGGAATCCTTCCGCCTATAGTAAGATTATTTACTCACTGCAGACTCTGCCATAAATCGTCGGGGCGGGGCGGACTGTGATAATGTGCTCTCTCTCCCACTTGCTTAGTGTTGAGCGTACTTGACGCGTGCTTTTATCGATAGCGGGCTTGCCGTTATGGATAAAAGCACGCGTCACGCGGTTTATTATATTCTACTGTTTAAATGTTGCAACCTTTTTTTAAATCAATACCAGTATTATCAATGTATAAAAAATGTTAACACATATAATGTTAACACATTATATGTGTTAACATTTTTGGCGAAAATTAAAGATCCTGTAAAATTAGGAAGTATTAATTTATATATTTACTTTAGGTTTTTAATATTGTAAATTTAAATATTTAATGTTGTTTAATATATGTGTTTAATAAATATATTACTTTGTATTTCCCTTCCTATTTTCACTTATAACAATCAATGATCTTTGATGACAACAAAATTGAACGTCATCCAATTCGAAAACATTTATCAACTGCAGTAATGTACTGTACATATCCTACTGGTAAGTGGAAGAGAGAGCGCAATATCGCTGTCCCGCTTTGATAATTTATAACCGAGTCTCCAGCGAGGATATAATCTTGCTATAGTTTATTATAACTAACCACGACTCCACTTTTCATACTGACTTTCTGTCTCAGGTGGCGTTATAATGTACGGAGCGCTTATTCTTTTTGAGGACCAACTAATCCATATCGTAGAAATTAGCTATACAGCGCTCATCCTGACGGAGCTGATCATGGTCGCGCTAACAGTGATCACGTGGCACAGGCTCATGTTATTAGCAGAGTTCGTCAGCTTGCTTATGTATATCGCCACTCTACTCATATTTACGACTTACTTCGGTGAGTTACCTTTTACTTACTTTTATTTTCTTTTCAATTAGAGATGCATCATTCGAGATGAAAATGTAAGGAATGTAATAAACAAGACTGTGCTTTACAGTCGGTAAGTTATGACAGAGATCGGAATAAGCAGATTTACATAAACTTCAACTAATATATATTGAGTGGATAATACCTCTTCTGAAATCCCGGAATGATCAAAACAAAATACTTATACTGTGCTTACAATTACAAAACTTTTCTAAATCCACTACTCTATACTCTAGTCAAATGCGAGATAGAATGTTTAAAAACAAAACAATGACGACAGAGGAAAATAACT